TACAAATTTTAGAAACCATGGGATCACTATCCCGTATAAGATATAGATTTAGAAACCTTGGGATCACTATCCCGAATAGTTACAGATTTAGAAACCATGGGATCACTATCCCGTATATAGATTTAGAAAACTGGGATCACTATCCCGAATAATTTACAGATATAGAAACCATGGGATCACTATCCCGTATATAGATTTAGAAACCATGGGATCACTATCCCGAATAAGATATAGTTAAAGATCATGGGGAAAGACATCCCGTACAGATAGTAGACATAAAACCATGGGATCACTATCCCGAACTAGATACCAAATAGTTTAGTTAATACCATGGGATCACTATCCCGAAAAGATATAAGAATAAACCATGGGATCATTATCCCGTAAGGACATAGATATAGAATAGTTTGATAATACCATGGGATCACTATCCCGAAAGATACATAGAAACAATACCATGGGATCACAATCCCGAAAGAGACATAGAATATAGATACAAAACCATGGGATCACTATCCCGAACGAAATAAAGATCCTGAACCCAAACTGTGAATAAGCTGGTATTAATACATATTGTGAGTCGGGTAACCATACTGATACGACAACGTGACCTCCTTGACGTTTGTCAGACGTCGAACGATTCTAGAAATTTGTCACCCTAGGCGTGCCCGCCTAACTGTAGCTAGCAGTTAAGGTGTGGGATTGTCAGTCCCGAATAGATCTATTCACAAATTCCGCGCTCTCCCTCCAGGAGACTCTGGTTACACTTCCGGAGAGGATTTACTGATCATCCATAAAGGGTAGTGACTATCTCACAAGCTAGTACTAAACTATTCACAGGGTTCGTATAAGATATTGACATACAGAAAGTTATGAAACATAGTACAGAAAAGTATAGATACATACATGAAATCATCGGATAACACATTCAAATGATACGGAGATAAACTGAACGGACATAGTTTATCTAGTAATTTAGTATAGATATCAGTATACGATAGAAAGCACAGTAAAGACCCCCAAATTATTCCCATAATAATTTGATTAGTTTGATTGTTTCTTAACTAAAATCCATTTAGTTGAAATCGAGTAGTCATTCCTTATGCTCAGCATAATACATAAGGAGTAAAAGAGTTTATAGATTTATCAAAGATTGTTTGAAACACATCAATGTTATGATTGGAAAACAGTTATGGTTTGCTTGTATTCCCCCCTGAAAACATTGAAAACAGTGAAAAAGCCGTAGGGGTATGAACTCACCGAACGAGGTACGAGACGGTTTGGATGCTAAGAGTTGAGCCGGGACTTGTAAACGCACGAGGTTCCTAATTATGAAGTAAAGATACACATTTGTATCTAATTAGGACATTAGATTGATTGCGGATAGGGACAATTGTTCAGGTCGCGATAACACTCCGATACAAGTGTTTGGGGGACCCGGGTGGCGTTTAGGGACATGAATGGCACAAGGGACTTGGGAAATGAGTTGGGACATCAAAGGAACACTCCCCTTAAGGGAGTTTTACGGCCAAAACACCCTTCCCCATGAGTTTACGGCCGTAAACTCATGATGGGTGTTTTATGGTGCCTTTTGGACTTCCAACACTTAGGGGATGATTTCTAGACTTGGTTTAAGGACTTGGAATGATTAAACATCAATTTGACCCTCTTTGATGGGAGTTTACGGCCTAGCAAGGCTCCAAGGCCGTAAACCCTCATTTGTCCAAGAAAATGATGTTTAATGATTTAGAACAAATCACATGTGATTGGTAAAATTAATCAAGGCCTAACATGAGTTTGCATGTGATTTTTGAGGTGTTTGTGGAGTTTACGGCCAATGAAACCCCCTTCATGGCCGTAAACTCTAGTGTGTGGTGTTCCAAGGTGTTTCAAGGCTAGAACATGCATGAATGGACTTCTAAAATTCATCTAAGGGCCTTAGGGGTGTGTAGTTTGCATTCTAACACCAAAAATTTGGAGTTTACGGCCCAAGAACATGTCTTGGCCGTAAACCCTTAGAAACCCATAAAAGTTGTGTTTTTGGCCTTCAAAGTATTTTTGGTTGGTCCCTTGATTTATTCCAAGGCTTTTGGTGGTGTTGGATGGCTTTCAAACACCTTAGAATGAGATTTATGCCAAGTTTTGTGGAGTTTACGGCCCAAGAACTCTCCTTGGCCGTAAACTCATCTAAGTCCTCCAAAGTTAATGTTTCAAGTGTCCAAATGCAAGAATCAAAGTCCCATAATTCATATCTAAGCTGTAGGGGTGATTTGGGAGGGTTTAAGGGCTTAAAAACCCTCATTATATGAGTTTACGGCCCAAGAGTATTCCTTGGCCGTAAACTCCTCTAATCATCACCAAATGCAAGTTTTACATGTTTAGATTATGTATTCTAAAGTCTCATAGCCATATCTAAGGTCCAAACTAGTCAAGGAAGGGTTTAAGGGCTCAAAACCCACTCTTTTGGTGTTTACGGCCCAAGCACCTTGTTAGGCCGTAAACTCACATGCATGGTCCAATTTCTTGTTTAAATCCCGAATTTGAAGGCTAAAGGTGCTTTAGATTAAGGCTAGGGAGGTACCTTAAGGATTTGAAGCCTTAAAATTGAGTTTTGGACACTAAATCTTTGGATTTTGGAGAGAGGTTAGAGAGAGAGTAGTGAGAGAGGGAAAAAAAGCTTCAAATGAAAGCTGAAACACATTTATATAGTTCCCAAAACTTACACGCGGTGGAATTCTACCCGATACCGACGCTAACCGCGGCTTTTGGTCGCACCCGATTGAGTTTCCGTCACCCGACGGGAACATTTTAAAAACTCGCGAAATAATCATTTTGGGCGAATAATATAAGTTCCTGAGTGTCTTAGACACTCATTAGGATAAAATAAACATATAATTTATATAACTAAATTCCAACGAGAAATCGGAACAAATCCGATAACGGCGACTTTCCGGGTAGAACGGTTCTTGGCGACGAACAAATTTCGGGTTGTTACAGGATTCCTCAGCTACACATGTCTATAAGGCAACCATGGGGGGATGGAGTACACCGGTGAACACATTGTTCACAAACACCTACAGGTTGCGAATCTGCTAGCATTCCACTGGACTTCTTACAAAAGTTTGTGGTCGTCATCCATACTCCGCTAGATGACTGGAACAATGTTAACATTGAGGCCTCTCATCATTTTATTTCACCATACACCAACTATCTACCCATGTTATACCCAATATATTTTTAAATATAAAATACATACATGGTCCAAATCTGTGAAACAAAGCTTACATCTTTTATCCAGCATAAGTCTCAAAGCATAAAATACATATATAGTCTAGATCTGAAGAAAAAGTTCAGATCTGAAGGAAAGAAGTTCAGATATTTCATCCAACATAGATCTCAAAGTACATAGTTTAGATCTGAAGAAAAAGTTTAGAGCTGAGATGAGAAAGTGTAGATCTGAAGGAAAAAGTTTTGGCTCTGAAAGAAAGAAGTATAGATCTTTCATCCAGCAAACATTTCAGGTAAACAGATAACATATATATACACATCATACATAATTTATATAAACTACCTCATATCTATGTGTAAGATGAAAGTGACTATACACTCACTTGATACGGATTGATTTGGACATCACCTCGCTTCTAAATATAACCTTCTTTTACGAAATCGGGAAGTTTGCTTGAAAACTGGGCTCTATACGGGCAGAGTTTCAGACCGAAAAACTCTTTTTCTCGGAGATTTCGGGATCTCCGAGGCTTTCTTCTAGTGCTAGGAGGTTTACCTAGACTAAAGAGGGGGTTAGGGAGGTAGTGAGAGAAAATAGAGAGTGAAAGTAGTGAGAAAGTGAGCAAAAATCTTGGCTGCCCTCGGTCCCCTTTTATAGGTGAGACCTCGGACGTATGCTAGGCGTACCTAGGCTTCTACGCAGGGCGTACTCCTCGCTCCGTACACACGTGTCCGACTCTCGGTGGTGGTGTGTAGCTTATCTCGGACCGCAGAAAAAGTCAATACGCAGGGCGTAGGGTCCTCGTACGCGGGGCGTACTTGGTACGCAAGGCGTCCGAAGTCTATGCTGGACGTAGCCTTGCATCCAGCTTCCCAAATTGCACCTCCGAATTCTAAAATTCATATCTTTCTAATACGAGATCCGTTTTCGATGTTCTTTATATCCACGCGTAGGTGGGACCGTACTCTACGACTTTCGTTCAGATTCCATCGGCTAATTCTCGACCGATTCTAAATTTAATAGTATGAGAAGATTACACTGTTAAACAATCGTGTAAAAACTCATAACTTGTACATATGGACTACGTTTTCGTCTATCTTTTTACCGTTCAGCTCCTATTGATGAGATCTTTGATTCTCGTTTAGGTTACGTCGGCTAAAAATCGTTCGATCTACAATTCGAACTCCTGTTGTGCACTGCTGATCCGAAACTTAGAAAAATCACAACTTCCTCATACGAAGTCAGATTTTGGTGTTCTTTCCATGCACGCTATCGATTTAACGAACACTACAGATTTCGTGTAGATCACAAAGGCTAAAAGTCCTCTATCGTAAATTCACTATTTATATTATAGAGTGTCGTGTCGGTTCTATTGTGAAACTTCGACAGACCATAACTTCTTCGTTATAACTCGGATTTCGGCGCTCTTTATATGTCCGAAATCCTTGTCACGACCACAACAACTTTCTTCATAGATATCGGTTTATCTAACATTTTATTTTTGACACTTATTTTTATCCTTTATTTATTATATTATAAACAAGTAATAAGCACACAGAAGCACATAATATTCAAGTAATTCATCTTTATTACTTTAAAATGGGTTACAATGGTTGACCTAGATTATTACATCATCACATCAACGCTTAGCCTTGAAACACGGGCCTTACACCAGTGCGAGATATTTTTTTTAACAACTAGCTTCAGTTACTTGTTGGACCTACCAGCTCAGTCCGGAGAAGAACTTCTTATTCATGAGTTGTTACTGCATATGTTGCGTTCTACTGCTAAAACAGGCACTACTGAGTGTCTACATTTTAGGTTTTCTAGACGTACATTATCATTTGGGCCCGAGGAGTTTTGTATTGTGTCCGGACTTTACATGGGCCGGTGTCCTAGATCAATGATCGAATTTTCAACAATGTATAAACATGGATACGGTGAATATACATTTCGGTCCAGAGTCTTCCCATATTGAACGTACACTAGTTTACTTGTAGAAGATTTAGAGATCCTTATCTTGAATAAACGGTTCAATGATATATCAGCTCATGACGGTGTCCGTGTCATTTTGCTATATATTCTAAATCAAGGTTTTTTTGGGTAAAGAGCCCAATATAAAGTCACCAAGGAATTTTTGTGGGTGGTGGAGAACCTGGATGGATGGAATAGGTATTTGTCAAGTTAATATTTTTAATAAAATACTATGTTTTATACGTTTAAAATACTTTTGTCGGGTGTGTTTAAAAAATTTGAGGATCATATGTCCAAGCATCCAACAAAATCTTATGTGTTTACACTATCGAGTTTTGTTATTCCTTTAAAGGTATATTTAAGTAATTAAAAATATATATTTATAAATTTTTCGTACTTTATTTTTTGATAATTTGATTTATTGCTAACACTTATAAATTAATGTATATTTATTACAAGATATGGATATGGGGGATGTTCCCAATAGTTCGGAGAAATGCTGCGATATGATGAAATAATTTATATCCTCGTATCTTGCGGTGGTTTCATATTAGGAGGTTGACATGGCAAAAAGTCTGCGATGTTTTCGATGTTGACTAGGGTGAGGCGCATCAACCCAAAAAAAGATGATTGCCTCATATGCTGAGACCTCTACTGCACATTATTTGTCATATATTACTAGTTTGAATTGTGAATCGTCTGAAGTCCCTTCTTATGTACGCTGCAACTTTGGAAAATATGTAAGTAAAATGGTAAAAGTAGAATCTATTATATTAATATTTTTCAACTATTATTGATAAATCAAATAATTTATGTAGGGGTCGTCTTCATTTGATCCATCATGTGGAAACAGCCAATATACCCAGTCCACCGAACAAACTCATACGGTGGAAATTAACAAAAGAACAGTCGGAGAAATACTTGCAAGACTTCAATCTTTGGATTAAGAAATCTGATGAATGAAAAATAAAGGGGAATTTTGAGAAGAGGATGACGTGGAAGAATTTTTAACGAAGCTTTTGAGGTAAAATAATTAATTTTAGAAATTTACTATCAATTTTTAACGAATCTTTTGAGGTAAAATAATTAATTTTAGAAATTTACTATCAGTTTTTAACGAAGCTTTTGAGGTAAAATAATTAATTGTTAAATTTGATTTGCTTTTTTATTAATTATTTTTTCTTTAAATGTAGGGGAATGAGAATGTGGATGGTAATTATCGGATGCCAAATCCGGTGGGCCAACAATTCGGTAGTCCATGAAAATCAAATTGAGTAAACGAGGATGAAGATGTTGATAATCAACGAGAGTTTAATTGTCGAAAACAAAAACGAATTGTGAAGGAGGTTATAATTTTTTTGTATATTAAATTTTTTATTTTTGAAAGTATATTAAAAAATTAATATGTTTTTTGTAGAAGAAGAAAAAAAGAATGTTGTTGCTAGCGACATTGTGTATGCGGAAAATCATATACCCGAGCCTCCTATTGCAAAACCAAGTTTTCCGGTTAGGCTACTGAAACCTTCTCAATATGTTAGCTCTCCATACGTTTCGGTAAGTATGTTAAAAATTATATTTACTAAAATTTTATTACTATATGGATAGTTATTGACCACGTATATAATGTAGGTTCAAAATGCCCCCCGATATTGTATAGGTGGGGTAATACGCAACGAACCACCACCCCCTGTATCTGTCAGCGATCCCCCGACACTTTTATTGGAGTCGTATGTGATGCCAGGTTGTAACGTCCCTTCTCTATACATGGGAAACAAATCGGTTGTTCTTATGAAACATAGGTTTTACAATGAAAAAATGGAAGCAAAGCTTTAGGATCTGCTTTTTTATGCATGTGACTTGGGATTTTTAGATGAAGCGGTATGAAAATATTTCTTTATATTTAAATTTTAAATAGTTTATAAGCTCCTTATGTTTAAATTAAATTTAACTGCAACATGTTGACATATATGGAAGGCTTTTGAATGAGCGGAGACCGAACAATGCATGATGGACAATCATGTCATCGTCATTTTTCGGTGCATTTGAGATGTTCCAGTGAGCAGGAAGTGCAATGGGAAATCCGATTGACCCGTTGGATGGATGTAGATATTGGCTAGAAGTTGACCGTGTGAGTAAAAAAATAATATATGTGAGTCAATTAACTTGTAATATTACACTAATTATACACTCGAATTAATTGCAACGGTCCTGTGTTAAAATAGGTTTATTTTCCAATATGCATCAACCCACATCATTAGGTTCTTGGCGAGTTATGGATGGACACGTTTTCGTTGAATTTGTACAAAAACTTCCAATCTTTTGGTGCCGTGAAGCTTATTGATTTTGTGCGGTTTGAAGAGCTTATTGACCACATTCTACTAGACATTGGCTATTGGAACCACATGGATTTGCCTGTTCAGAAAGCATCCATTACTGTTACGGATGTTATGGATGTGCCCCAACAAGAAGAGATGTTTGGAGAATGTGGTGTATTTATGTTGATATACATGAAGCAGCTTGTTTCAGGTCAACCGATTGATATATCGACAAAACCTGTTATTGCCGCTACACAGTTTCGCAGTAGGATGAGCATAATATATTATGAATCTTCTAGAAAAGCGATTTTAAATTAGTTTGATTAGTAGGTTTTTAGTGACATTTAATGTGCAATATTTCATCACGATTGTTAAGGTTCTATTTTATTTTATGTTAATAAAATGTCCCCTAATTATTAAACATTCAACATTATTATATAACAAACTAACAAGATAATAGTACATATTACATAGATTAGTCATAACAAACAAGCAAATAAATATTTAAAACATTTTACATAGATAAACTCATAAATAAAATACATAAACTTACTAGTTGATTATGTTGGAATAGTGTCTAAGGCTGCAACTATATTAGGCAAATATTTGACCCGGTTATGCATGGTCCTTTTGGGTTGCCTTCACCATAGCAACTTGATAGGATGATTTATTAAGAGAGAATAAATATTATTAATATATTATGGGAATAATATAAAGAATAATAATATTGTTATTTGATTAATATAAGTCATATTTTAATTAGAATTAATTTGGTGACTTAAAGAGATTAATTAAATAAGAGGGTATAAACTGTCAATTGTTTGATAGGTAAACTTTAGACTGTAAATCCATATAGATATGGATTGGGCGGATTCTAGGAGCTAAAGGATAGCTCAAATCGTCCAAGAGTTATCTAAGGAATGGATTTGGATAGCCTTAAGAGAAGATTATCCAATTAGGGTTTTGGTTGTAACCCTTAAGGAGTCTACAAGTATAAATAGACCCTATGGCATAAGGAATCCGGTACTTCACCAAAAGTAGAGAAGCCCTGGCCGAATTCCTCCCCTCTCCTCTCTCCCAAATCATCCTCCTTGTTATTTGGTGTTTGTAAGCCATTAGAGGAGTGACAATTGTGACTCTAGAAGCTCCAAGACAACAAGATCAACAAGGAATTCAAAGGTATGATTCTAGATCTGTTTCAATATTGTTATTTCACCTAAATAGTCATTATAAGTCTTGGATTCAAAGCATGTTTAATTAGAAAGCCTAGATCCAAGAATTAGGGTTTTGCATTCGCATATAGGAAAGTTCTTATGGCTAAAACCCATCAGTGGTATCAGAGCCTAGCTTGGTTTTCATTAAATTGTTGCTAATTGTCTAAAACTAAACTGCAAAATTAATTTTCTATGTTTCTAAGTCATGGACTCGGCGAGTTCCAAAGTGGACTCGGCGAGTTGTGCTGACTCGGCGAGTCCCTTTGTGCACTCGGCGAGTCCAAGCGTCAGGAATGGCCAGATTCGGGATTTCTTCATGATTATCTTATGGAAACTTACCTTAATCATATTAGATCAACCCTAATCCGATTTTTTGATATATATGACTATAATCTTGATCTAATTAAAGATATTTATCAACTAATAAAATATTTAATTTTCTTATATGATAATTAATTAATTATTTTGATTATTTTGGTAATTATCTTAAAAGAAATCTTGAATAAATCAAATATAGATAATTAGGAAATTAATTGTTAATTGAAATTATTTGTTATTTGATCCTCCATGTTTTAAATGTTTAAAACTTGTCCTCTAGTTTTGAAATTTATATTTTGTGATTAAAAGTTTTAATTTAGACAACTTAAATTTCAAACCCTAGATTTTAAAAGGTTTAAAATACAACCCTATACTAATATAATATTACAAGAATAATATATATATATATATATATATATATATATATATATATATGTGTGTGTGTGTGTATATATGTATAACTAAAATGATAGTCTTACCGTTAGTAGGCCTTATTCACGAAGCCGATCTATAAGGTGGGTATAAGGTTGCGGCCTATAAAATGGCGCTTAATGGGTGTACACTCACACCCACCGCTTTCTTGATCAGTGGAGGGTCGTTAGCCGAACGGGTAGGATAGGGCAACCTCATCCTCTCATTAAAAGTATAATAAGTAATACAAAGTAACTACACATTTTCAAAATTTCTCAATCTTAGTTACTTTAGGAAAAGTGAATTGATGCAATCCCATGAAATTACACTTTGCACCCCTTGCTAAGAAGTTAGTTGAGCGTGTGTGGTTTACCGGCACACTAATTGGTTCTAAGCAAAGGTGGCAAAGGGTGAATCATTGTTTATCATAGTTCGATGGAGCGTGTGTGGTTTACTGGCACATCGAATAGGTGATCGTTACAATGAAGGCACCATGTGAATTTGCATGGTAATTCACACCAGCTTGGTGATCCTCGGTATCCCAGTCACAAACAAGAGGGACATATCGAGATTTAAACATGCCATTGAATAGTTTCAATGAATCTCATCCGAACCTAGGAATTCTCAATACATTTAGGACTAATAGTTAAGTTTTTGAAATGGAGAATTAGTGAATCGTCATTCACTTACCTTCAATCTATTTGCATGTTGGATTACGGCATCCCTTTTCTAATATTTACATGTTATTGTTGGATCCTAGCCCTAATTTTTCTTATTGGGTGATAATTAGGGATTCTTATTCTAATCTATCTTTGCCCTTTCTTCTTTTTGTAGATGTCGAACGCAAACAACATTGTTGCAAGTTCTTTCACGTTGATGAGCCTTTGCCAAAAGGTCACCTTCGATGGAACGAACTTTAGCGAATGGATAAGATACATTCGCACCATTGCTCGCTATGAGGATAAGGAGTATGTCCTCGATGAGAAGCTCGAGAAGATCAACCCTGAAATCGCTACTCCGGCTGAAATTACCGCTTTTGAAACTCATGAGCGAGATGCAACGAATGTACATTGCATCATGATAGCCACCATGAAATCCGAATTCCAAAAGTCCTACGAGGACATGTACCCGTACGAGATGCATCAAGACTTATTGGAGAGATACCACCAGAACGCGAGACAAGAGCGTTATGAGATTTTCACTAACATGATCTCCGCTAAGATGGGTCATGGAGAATCTCTTACCATGCACCTGCAAAAGATGCAAAGGTATGTTGACTGCCTTCGCAAGTTAAATGTTGACTTTGGGGAAGACTTAGCGATCGACATGGTGCTTCACTCTTTGCCTCCAAAGTACAAGCAATTTAGGATGACCTACCACATGAACAAAGAGGAGGTCACCCTAAGCAAACTCCAAGGTCTATTGAGGGTCGCTGAGAGCAACTTCAAAGACAAGTCTGTTGCACCAACTCCCAATCCACTTGCTGCTCCAGTCTTGGCTATTGGTCAAGGAAAGGGAAAAAAGAGGAAGGCTTCATCTAAGAACTGTCGCAAGGTTAAAGCTCGAGATGGTGCCTCTTCTAATGGGACCAAAGTTGATCCCTCTAAGCCCTGCCCTAACCCTAAGGAGGCAGAGTGCCACCACTGCCACAAGATAGGACATTGGAAGAGAAGTTGCCCAGAGTACCTGCAAGCCATCAAGGAAGGAAAGATCAAGCCATCTTTCATAGGTATATACACAATTAAATCTAACGATTCTAATCATGCTATTTCTTGGGTTCTTGATACCGGTTGTGGTTACCACATTTGTTCTAATGTGCAGGGACTAAGAAGAAGTAGGGATGTGGAGCAAGGAAGGATCAATCTAATCATGGGGAACAGAAGATCGTCGCCTGTGACCAAGATTGGGGTGTATTCTTTAATGCTTAGGAATAATTTATGTTTAGATTTGAACAATTGTTGCTATTCGCCAGAAATGGCTAGAAACATCATTTCATTTCATGGTTTGTTTAGACAAGGTTTTAGATTTTCCTTTAATAATGAGAATGGTTCTATTTTAGCTTATCTAAATGGTGTCTTTTATTTTGAAGCTATACCATGTAATGGAATTTATTAAAATTTTAATAATTGTTGATAACTTACGAAATAGTGTTTTGAATATAGATTCTTCCACTAGTATGGATAAAGCATCCTTGTGGCATTGTCGTCTTGGACATGTCAACAAGAAACGCATAGCCCAACTCCAAAAGGATGGAGTGTTGGGGTCATTCTGTGACATCCCCAAAATCACGGCCAAAAAAGACCGGTTTTGTTTATACTTTATTTCAAAATCAGAGTTATCTTTTAATAAAAGGGTTGCAAAATTTGTCCCAAAACAATAATATGATAAAGATTTATCAAAAGCATTTCCATAGACATGTATTTCATTAAAAGACTCGGGATGTCATGTTCGTACAGATCAAAAGTATAAACAGTACAATATAAGCCTTACTACATTATTTCATATCTACAGGCCTATATCCGTAATCCCTCGTCCAAAACATCACACCTATGCTCATGCGCCACTACCTGTAATACATAAAACTAAGTGGGTCAGGCTTGGGAGCCTGGTGAGCACATACGGTTTTCAACCCACAATAAATAAGTTTATTAATTTCATCAATCAACAATAACCCGATTACCCGTTCCCGTTATCCTCACTTTACGTCCCTAAACACTTATCATAAGGGACCTAGCCTAAGGATCATCATTGAGACAGACACTACTGCTAAGGGGATTCCTCAGCAATAAATGTCCTAATAGGCAACCATGTGGGGGATGGAGTACACCGGTGAACACATCGTTCACAACACCTACAGGTTGCGAACCTGCTAGTGTTCCACTGGACTGTCTAGAAGAGTCCGTGGTCATCATCTATACTTCGCTAGATGACTGGATCAACAACAACAACATCGAGGCCTCTCATCATTTTATTACACATCACCTATTACATCTACCCATGTTTTACCACAACATTTTCGTAGATATAAAATACATATACAGTTTAAATCATTGAAAACATGTATAACAACTTTCATCTAGCATAGATAGCAAGTATTCAGATAATATGCACACATAGCACGTAATTTATATAAAATACTTCATATATATGTGTAAGTTGGAAGTAACTATGCACTTACCTAGTTAGGTGGTGACTCAGCACTCGGACAGCGCTTCGATACTCTCAAAATGATATTCCTTCGATAAAACCTAGTATCGATACCACTAGGGTTTAGTTTAATGATAACCGCGACAAATTAATTAGTCTGAGTATTATTAAGCATTAATAATACTCGATATATCTCATAATAATGGCCCAAATAATTATTTTAAAGAC